GATGTTGCTAGAATTATCTATACTGCTAACCTATCAGAACCTGTAGAAGTGTTGTAAACTGATCATCCTGAAGAATCTAAGGATTCTTTGCAGCAACCTGTGTGTGTCACTTGATGAGAGCAACCAAACATTTGCGTTTTTACTTTCTTTTATTTTTCATTAATTCATTAATTCATTCTATTCTAAGGTAGTTCAAGGCTGGATCCTCTTACTCATTTTCAATGGCCTTTGGAAATGTGGAGAACTCTCTGTCAACTGAATGTACTGCATATTTGACTCCTGGTCTTCATCAGTGTTAATTTCGTCATGGATACAAATGGACAAATGGATACATTTGAAAAGCGTGACGACGCGAAAGATTTTTGGTCCGGTTTTCACGCACACAGAAAAGCGCTTCTCAAACAGCGCACGACTACTGAATTCAGTTCTCTTTCACATCTTAATGGAGATATACACACAAAGGGATGTCAAATTGTCCATTTTGACTAGTATTCATGTAAACACACTCGGCTATGACTTAAGTGAAAACAGTTAAAACTGACTGCACGAATTCAATATACTGGTACACACATCCGATATTCTTCCAACAGTTTACATTCACTTAAGACATAGCTGGGTGTGTTTACATGAATACTAGTCAAAATGGACAATTTGACATCATTTTGTGTGTATTTCTCCATTAAGACGCGAAAGAGAACTGAATTCAGTAGTCGTGCGCTGTTTGAGAAGTGCTTTTCTGTGTGCGTGAATTGGCTGTGTGCACTCAGAAAACCGGACCAAAATTTTTTCAAATGTATCCATATGTCTGCTTTTCTCTTACTTCCAGACACTGACATTTTTAAACATTTTATGAGATGTGCAGCAAGTGTATGTAAGTGTATGCTGCAGTTCAAATGTGCACATCTACCCTCTTCCGCGCAGGAGATTCGTTCTGACTGGATCTCTTCCCAAATACCAATCATTCCTCCCTAACATTTTCATCTCGCTTTTATTCATTGACATTTCATAGATTTTCGTCATTGTTTTTGTCATTCAAAAAGAGTTTTTATTTCGTTATCATCTCGTTTTTGTCTGAAAAAATATTAAATAATATTAAACTAAGGCTGCCTTCAAAGGATCCTTCTGATTGAAAAGGCCTTCAGCGATATTTGATGACGTGGCAGCCGAGCTGCAGCCTTCCGTTTGAGAAGCACCCTTTGGCTGCCACATCTGTAGATACGCAGCATACGCTAGTAGCACAGTGTTGTTTGGAGACACAAAGAGCGGCAATGGATCATGCTTCTAACAGTGCTTTACCAGCAAAGACATCAGGAGAACCAGTTCCTGTACGATCGAAGAAACAGAATAGGTCCAAAGCCAGAAGACAAGGAAACCCACGTAGACAAAAAATGCCTACGCCATACACAAGATGGAAAGATCTGATGACGGAGAAAATCCTGAGATAGGGCTGCACGATTAATCGAATGCGATTGTCATGCGCATCTTGTCAGTAAAGCCGGTTCTGTAATCAGTAGTAAATCTCCATCACATGCTTTCAGAAGGAGCAGCATTTACTACACAGAGCCGTAGTTCACTGACAAGCTAAGCAAAATCGCATTCATAATTGCAGACGATATAATCGCGCGATTATGAAATCAAAGAAATCTTTCTGTGATTATGAAAGCTGTTTGCATAGCTTCTCAGTGAACTATGGCTCTGTGTAGTAAATGCTGCTCCATCTGAAAGCACATGAAAATACCACATTTAATAAAATGCTTTTACTCCAAACTCACTTCATAACGTCTGTCGAGTGTTAGAAATAAATCCCTCTGTAGGTCTGTCAAAAAAATTTTAATTTCTAATATTCGTCGAATTTAAAATAAAAATGCACATTCGAATGCAAAAACGTTGCATTTGAATTTTAGTTGTGCGTTAAGGAGGCAGCTTTATAGGGCTGTCAAAATGGCTGAAAAACTAAATTCAAATTTTTTTCTTAAATATCAAAATTCTAATTATATTCGAATTTAAAATGCATAATTTCAGTTAGGGTGAAGAAAAGATTTTGGCTTCTCTCCTGAGGCCACAAGAGGGCACATCGAGCAAAATATTACTAATGCACGTTTATTCAAAGCATAAGATGACATGACTATCTGTGAAAAAAGCCCTCACTTCATAATGTCTGAGAAAAATCTGTTCTCAAGCCCGCCCGCCCGCCTCTCTGCTCACTCAAGGCCGCGGTGTGTGGTGCTTTTTCGTTGTGAAAGCAAAACTACTTTGTTTGGCCTTCCAAAAGAGGACACGACTACAAATCAGTGGTTAAGTTGTATTTACAACACTGTTCCAGAAAACCTCAACCCAAATATTCAGATGTGTGCAGAACATTTTATGGAGGACCGTTTCCTGATCCTGGTAGAGTAGACTACAATGCCGGCTGTTCTGACTCACAGACTGTAAGTAAATTTTTTATTTTTAAAGAATTTGCCACTGATGTTTCAAACGCAAGTTTTTTGGCCAGTGTAGAGTAGCACTTGTTTGTCATTTCTCCGATCACAAATGCAGACATGTGGTGCATCTCAATTAGCTCCCTTTTTCAGTAGTAAGGGCACTGATCAGGGAGTCGGACATTTTAAGGGCTGTCTAAGTCGCGAAATCCTTCCACTGCACTGGAACACGAAAACCTCAACCCAAATATTCAGATGTGTGCAGAACATTTTATGGAGGACCGTTTCCTGATCCTGGTAGAGTAGACTACAATGCCGGCTGTTCTGACTCACAGACTGTAAGTAAATTTTTTATTTTTAAAGAATTTGCCACTGATGTTTCAAACGCAAGTTTTTTGGCCAGTGTAGAGTAGCACTTGTTTGTCATTTCTCCGATCAGAAATGCAGACATGTGGTGCATCTCAATTAGCTCCCTTTTTCAGTAGTAAGGGCACTGATCAGGGAGTCGGACATTTTAAGGGCTGTCTAAGTCGCGAAATCCTTCCACTGCACTGGAACACTCACTACCTGAAAAATCCCACAATGCACCACAAAAACTAGGGAGCATCGGCGCTCACTCTGCTCCCTTACCGGAAATAACGTCACATTTCTGAAGCGAATATATTTATATTCAATATTTATAATGACACGCGATAGAAGATTTGAAAAGACAAGCAATTTCTGTACCTAAAAACTGTTAGACCTACCTAAAAAAAAAACAAAAAAAGCACTGTTTATTTTATTTGTATCTTTTTTCACTGTTTATTTATTTGTGCTGTTGCTTGTAGTTAGATTATTTGTTCTCATTTTCTTTATTTTTATTTGAAAATATAGTTTTTTCCCTAAACATAGCACATACCGGACCGTACCGAAACTGTGACTCTAAAACCGTGATACAAACCGAACCGTGAGTGAGTTGAACTGTTGCACCCATATTTTGTGCATTTTCAAGAGGGACATCTATCACCGCTGCACTCGCGTCTCGCACAAAAGAGCCGCATGTTTAGAAAGCCATGTAAAATTAATGCAAGTTCAACTTTGAAAAAACATATCTCCAGACTTTATGGCGAGTATTTACCCCATCCCACTGCAACTCATGAAAAAATGTACTGTGCGATTGGCTTTCGGCCCTTTGTATTAAAAACTATGCATACATACATGCTCTAGTTTTGTTTATAGTTGTTTAAGAAACTTAATTATAATTGGTTTATAAACATTATTTTAAATATTATGCACTTTTTTCACAGATAGTCATGTCATCTTATGCTTTGAATAAACGTGCATTAGTAATATTTTGCTCGATGTGCCCTCTTGTGGCCTCAGGAGAGAAGCCAAAAGCTTTTTTTCACCCTAACTGAAATTATGCATTTTAAATTTGAATATAATTCGAATTTTGATCATATTTAAGTAAAATATTCGAATTTAGTTTTTCAGCCATTTTGACAGCCCTATCCCTCTGTGAGACGATGTGGCTTCTTACACAGAATAAGGCAAGTTATTATTATAATTAGTCTGTAAACGGCCATCAACAGAGGCCAGAGATGCTGAAGACCCACACAAAGAGGAGAAAATAATATAGCAGACAAAACAAGATCACTGTTCACGTGCGAGACTTCCGCGTTCAGGAAAAAGTTAGATAGACGAAAACATATTGGCAGCGGTGGGATTCGAACCCACGCCATCGAAATGACTGGAGCCTAAATCCAGCGCCTTAGACCACTCGGCCACGCTACCATTAAACTTCATACATGACACATCTCAAAAGCATAGTGACAAAAGTCAAAATCACCTCAGTAATCATAATTGAGCTCTCGGCTCAATCGTTGATTTAGTTATTTATTTTACATAAACTGCAAGTGTCATACGTTTCATAAAACTGAATAGTTAGAAACAAAACGTCTCGGAACAACTGTAAGCATCACATTTGGTGATGCTGACACTGGCAATAAAATGAATACCAAAAACACGAAAACATCCGCTCGGCCACTAGAGCTGGATGAGCAGGTCTGTTCTTTATCACAGTGGCTACGTGCAGCTAGTCCTCACCAGTGTGGAGTCCTTGCCCTTCCCCCAGAACATGCGAGTCTACTACGGCGAAGGGCTTTCTCATGAATATTAATTACGCAACGTGCCGTTGACCTAGTGCGATCACTTGATTTGATTTTGGAATGTGGCGTTTTTGAAGGCTGGGCTTATGAATATTAATTTACAGGAAACGTTAGCACGAATAAATTAATATTCATGAGCCAAGCCCTTGCCTTAGTAGAATTCGTAATATTCCGCTGAGCTCGATAACAACATGAGGTTCCCCCATAAAAGGGCATGTGATTAATTATGGCCTTATGGCACATGGCTGTCTTTGAATAATAATCTGACATTTTAGTCTTTATGCAAATCTGTTTTCCCCCCATATATATATTTGTTTATTTTTATATATTCAGATATTATTCAGACCTAATATTTCTCTGAAATGAACTGTAAGTACATGGATGTATTTTTTAATAAAGTCCACTAGAGGGCTGAATATGCAGCTTTGACGTTGTGCTGAGTTATGCGAGGTTGGACGAATCAACGCAAGGGAACAGTTGCTCGCAGGCCAGGACACGTACCACGCATCTCTGCAGACGCACAGTAAACCTGTCACTGTCCAGTGTGCGCTCGAGACACAGCCGCAGCTGAAACTTCCGTTCAAACCTGTTTTTATACAGTCTATGGTTCAAACGCGCAATTCTTTGTTGAACTGGCTTCCTATTTAGAAAGGGCGTGAAGGCGATTTGAGATAAGAGAGAGTAAGTCATCTGTCTCCTGTTTTCGTTATGTCTTCATTCTAGCAGCTTTATTCATGCACTTTTGATTGACCTTTCTTTCTTGTGGTCTGTACTGTTACCACCTTTGAGCTGTTATGTTATGATTTTTTTTTGTTTTGAGCAATTGTGCAACAAATTGCATTAAATAAATGTACATTTAAGCTTTGAATGAATGACGTTGTTGCTTCAATGCATTAAAATAAAATGCTTTTGTCATTGCAAACTGATGTTTTGAGTATATTTGGCAGAACAACTATTTGACGGGACAATGGAATGCATGAACAGGAACAGGTTTTTATACGAATAACGTTACCTTCACATTTGATCAGCATCGGTTCATCTAAAACAAAAATCTGTTTGCATTTTTTTTCTGACAATGCATCTGCTGATGTAGCAGTATTTGACACTTATTCTAATGTGCTTGTTTGTAGTTTTGGTGCACAACACAGTGGGACATCATGGCTGAGGAGGAGCTCATGTTTAATATGGAGGAGGTGGGAAGTCCTCGGAATGGATGTGCTAAGGGAAGAGTGGCTTTCCAAGATTCCAATGCAAGTGATGATGATGATGAAGAAGAAGATGATGATGAAGATGACCTCCGTATCTGCCCCATCACTGACGACCCCATAAGCCCAACCAAAGGTTTCTTTGACTACCCAAAGGACGTCTTTAGCAACCAGCAGCTTTCGAATTCATTGCCCAAAAACTCCTTCACATACAGGGTGAGTCTTTCCCATTTAATCTACACTTTACTGTAAGCAATAATACAGTACAAGAGGTTGTGCTTGATTTTGAATATAGTCATGTGTCCAATACAGCACGACTTCCAGTGCCTTATTGCTTTTATAAAACTTTTACTACATAATAAGAAATATGAAGGGCACAAACTTTCATTATAACGTTATTGTATTAGGCAGCCACATTAAGTAGCCTCTTCTTAGATACACGTAGTCCCTAGCATGTAAACAAATGTTATTTTTGGACCAGCATACCACTATTTGTACTATTTCTGTAGTACACAGCATGTTTATTGTGTGCCGTATCAGAATTTTTTGAGTGTATGGTACTTGCATAACATTTTTGCAAAAACGTGCAGTATACAGCAACTGTATGCCGCAATGCAATAGTGGTAAATGCTTCTGACACAACTTATATAGAAATGTATAATAGCTGTTTTTATTTTTGAATTACGTTTTATTAATATAGTCATGTGACAACAATGTGGCATACTAGTGATTGAAACATACATCATTGCATAATGCACAATGTTTGACATACTATTTTATACTATTACAATAGCTACTATATTATACTATACTTTTATAAAACTTTTACTACATAATAAGAAATATGAAGGGCACAAACTTTCATTATAACGTTATTGTATTAGGCAGCCACATTAAGTAGCCTCTTCTTAGATACACGTAGTCCCTAGCATGTAAACAAATGTTATTTTTGGACCAGCATACCACTATTTGTACTATTTCTGTAGTACACAGCATGTTTATTGTGTGCCGTATCAGAATTTTTTGAGTGTATGGTACTTGCATAACATTTTTGCAAAAACGTGCAGTATACAGCAACTGTATGCCGCAATGCAATAGTGGTAAATGCTTCTGACACAACTTATATAGAAATGTATAATAGCTGTTTTTATTTTTGAATTACATTTTATTAATATAGTCATGTGACAACAATGTGGCATACTAGTGATTGAAACATACATCATTGCATAATGCACAATGTTTGACATACTATTTTATACTATTACAATAGCTACTTTACGCGTCATAGATGCATACATTGTGTATTTTAGCATGACTGTAATGCTGTATCATTATCCAGAACTGGAACTATCCATTTCATGATCGTATTTTGGTGGTAATCCAAGCACGTCCTTATCTTGTTTATGCCCACTTAGACGATGACCTCTTTGTAATGGTAAAACAGATTGCCTTTACCACAGAGAACTAGTGAACAAATGGTTTTTCTTAACCACAAAGCATTTTGTGTTGTTACCAGAAGAAGCAGTCAACTAATGTACAGTATGCTAAAATTGTTTTCCTCCATGTCTGTGACACACTTACTTCCATATATGGAGCTCTCTCATGATGTGACTTCCTTAACCTCATGTACTGTAAATTTTACTGTAAATAAGACACATGTTTTTACTAATATTTTTGTGTTTAAACAAATGGGTTTGTCTATTCTTCCAATTTAGAACAAACATGAAACCGAGCAGGATGGGCACTCTGTCAGGTTTGGCTCTTTAACTGAGAAAGGCCGGGTATGTTTAATATAAGTTTCAATTTCTGCCCTTCACCTTTACTTTTTCTTTCCCAGATTTTATTATTCCATCTTACCCGGTGTCATTGTGGCATCTAGCCTGCAATGCATGCTCATTTTCATATTTCTCCTATCACCTTATTTTCCCTTTCACTCCTTCTACATTTGCTCACTGTAAAAAGAACCATATCTGTTAGGGATGCAAAGAATGTATGTATAAATAATATTTCATATGTTATGGTTAATATGATGGCTAATATTGTAAATACAGTACAGCTTTTTATTTTCTAAATGCATGTTATAGATCTCTTTAAAAAAAAATCTGTGCATGTATTTTTTTTTTTAAACTGTTATAATATACGGCAGAGAAGATGCTACTTTTTAGTGCTCATTTAATCCAGCATAGTAAAAGACATGTTCTGAAAATATCAACTTAAAATATCAGAATGTTGCTGTTTAAAAACACAAATACTGTTCATGCCTAATGTCAATATACTGTAGGTGTTATCATTTTTTATACTATTTTATACTATTACAATAGCTACTATATTATACTATAACAATAGCTACTTTACGCGTCATAGATGCATACATTGTGTATTTTAGCATGACTGTAATGCTGTATCATTATCCAGAACTGGAACTATCCATTTCATGATCGTATTTTGGTGGTAATCCAAGCACGTCCTTATCTTGTTTATGCCCACTTAGACGATGACCTCTTTGTAATGGTAAAACAGATTGCCTTTACCACAGAGAACTAGTGAACAAATGGTTTTTCTTAACCACAAAGCATTTTGTGTTGTTACCAGAAGAAGCAGTCAACTAATGTACAGTATGCTAAAATTGTTTTCCTCCATGTCTGTGACACACTTACTTCCATATATGGAGCTCTCTCATGATGTGACTTCCTTAACCTCATGTACTGTAAATTTTACTGTAAATAAGACACATGTTTTTACTAATATTTTTGTGTTTAAACAAATGGGTTTGTCTATTCTTCCAATTTAGAACAAACATGAAACCGAGCAGGATGGGCACTCTGTCAGGTTTGGCTCTTTAACTGAGAAAGGCCGGGTATGTTTAATATAAGTTTCAATTTCTGCCCTTCACCTTTACTTTTTCTTTCCCAGATTTTATTATTCCATCTTACCCTGTGTCATTGTGGCATCTAGCCTGCAATGCATGCTCATTTTCATATTTCTCCTATCACCTTATTTTCCCTTTCACTCCTTCTACATTTGCTCACTGTAAAAAGAACCATATCTGTTAGGGATGCAAAGAATGTATGTATAAATAATATTTCATATGTTATGGTTAATATGATGGCTAATATTGTAAATACAGTACAGCTTTTTATTTTCTAAATGCATGTTATAGATCTCTTTAAAAAAAAATCTGTGCATGTATATATATTTTTAAACTGTTATAATATACGGCAGAGAAGATGCTACTTTTTAGTGCTCATTTAATCCAGCATAGTAAAAGACATGTTCTGAAAATATCAACTTAAAATATCAGAATGTTGCTGTTTAAAAACTACTGTTCATGCCTAATGTCAATATACTGTAGGTGTTATCATTTTTTATTTTAATTATTGTTTATATATATGCCTATATAGATATCATGACTTAATATTGATGCCTCTCTCTCTCTCTCTCTCTCTCTCTCTCTCTCTCTCTCTCT